CTTCCTTCCTTCCTTCCTTCCTTATTTATTTATTTATTTATTTACATATTTATTTTATTACAAAATTATTAACCGTTTTGGAGTACCCAAAGTATGCAAAATTACATCATGGTGCCAACTGCCTGAAAAAGTTTCTGTTCCCTGCCTTAATTAAATCAAATATGGATTATTGCAAAGGTTGCCTTTGAAAAGTAAATTGGCCAATACCTCCCAAATGTAAAGCAACTTGTTTAGCAGAACAATTTTACTAGCTCCAATGTATTTCTGGGTATAATTCAGACTGCTTGTGATAATATTGAAAGATCGGTATGATAAGGATATGTGAGAGATGACTTCCCATACAAAGTTGCTTGTCTACTGAGTAAAATTTGGAAGTCATCTTAGTTGTACCAACACCCTCTGAGATCTGTGAGGCTACAAAGACAACTTTCTTAGTGATTTCCCTTGGAACTCTGGAATTACATTCTAAGGAGACTTTCATTAAAAAGTTTCCAGAAGTTAGTGAAGAATTATTTAGGAAGAATATCAGTGTATAATCCTACTTGGTATTCTTTATCAATTATTATTTTTATTATTTTAAATATATTTGATGTTTAACTTCCATTAAAGTCTAGATGCCTCAGAACAGCTAACAGTTAAAACCATGAAAACAAATATTAAACAAGCTATATTAATTTATATATTTATCAATTAATTAGTAAAACAACTAGTGTATTGATTGAAGAAGTATGGATTTATTGAGCGGGGGATGGGGCGCATTTCAAAATTGGAAAGACAGTGCAACTCCAAATATAACTTTTTGGATCATGGACGAGTGTTCACTTTTTGTATATGAGCTATTGATGTACTGGAAATATTGATGAATATTATTTCATCTGGTCAAGGATTAATAATGTGTTTAAAGATTAGGGTGAAAGATTTTCTTTATGTCATGTAATATGCTTCTGTTGCTCCCCTTTTGTTTTTCCTCTCTTCTCTTTTTTGTATATCAAAGAAATCTTTCTCTCTTCCACCCAAGCTTTGCAACATAATTTGTGGGCTTAGGCCATAGGAAGTGGCTTTTCCTCCATCTGCAAGTAAAGCAAAATGCTGAACAACTTCGCAGCTAGAGAATTAGGGCCGTTCAGAAGGCAGAGGGGAAAGAGGGCTAGTCTGGGGCCCTTCATTGCAGATGGCCTCAGAAAACCAGTACAAAGCAGAACAAAACACAATATTTAAGAGACATTCCAAATTCATCCATATGAAAACAAGCCCATTTGAATATCAAAATAATACTGATGGCCTCAAATGATTTATAGAATATTATGAAAAGGAAGCAATTTGCTAGTTAGAACTGCTGGTGGAATCTTTTAGCTGCGGCAGTGTTTTTAAGATGCCTCAACTGGCTGGGGAATTCTGGGAGTTGAAGACCACACATCTTAAAGTTGCCAAGGTTAAAAAACACTGCTCTGAGGTATCAAAACAGCCTTTGACATTATATTCACTTTGATTTGGGAGAGAAGGGAAACTGTCTTAGTCTGGCCACAAGTAGGGACACAAGCCACATGACATGCACTGATCTATATCCTTCAACCCATCAAAGCTACTTGCCTGTCACTTCTTTTGTACTGCTTGTTACTCACCCAAACAATTGATGCAGCACCATCAGTGACAGTGACAGCACCGGTACACCTCAAAAGAGAAGAGCAATTCATGCTACTGCACCACGCCAGCTGGAATATGATGGAGATTCAAGCCAGACCAGAGTCTTTTCCAACAGCACTTTCTGTCAGCCAGACCAGAAAAGCAAGAAGCAAGAGGCACCTCCCTCGCACATCCTTGCACCCTCGCGTGCACCCTCACCCACTCTCGCCCGCACTGATTTGGTTGTGGGAAGCTGGTAAGAAGTTGCCTTGCTTAACAGTCATGGGATTCAGTAAACAATGCCCACCAGGACTGGAAGGATTGCTGTCACTAAGCAATGTGGTTGTGCTTTATGACCGTATCCCTTAGCAACAGAAATTCCGGTTCCAATTGCTGTCGTAAGTTGAGGACTACCTGTCAGACCCTGTCTTCATCACTGTCATATCAGCACAGTGATGGTAGATTGATGCTAGAAGGCACAATAGATCACTAATGAGAAAATGACCTGTCTCATAAAGATAGGAAAGGCAGTGAGTTTGCTTCAGAAATAACAGCCTTAATGATAGGGCTGACCTTGGGCTTGAAGGTGGGGGGAGTAACTGGGCAAAGCAGGCTTACATTTTCTTTTATATCTCTGTAATTTTTATGCAGTCATCTTCTCTTTAAGTGGAAGCTAATTTAAGAATATCTTTGCAGGAGTCAGGCTTTCTCTCTCACACATACATGCACCCTGCCCTGTCCTGCCCTGTCCTCCCTTTCCCACATCCATATCACAGCAAAAAATGGAAAACATCCTGATAGCTGCAGTTCTACTGTTGACTACTGTATAGTCGGGGAAATCTGGGGGGATCTCACCATTTTTTTTTTTCAACTTGTAAAGGTTTTATTAGTTAAGGCTCCTGCCTGAGTCTGACAACTAAAGAAATGCAGCCTGGATTGTTGAATAGCTTGCTTGATGTTTACTCTGGCTTTGCCACTGGCTAGGTCTAAATGCAAGTCAATATGTGGGGTGAAGGTTGGCCGGAAGGCTGCTCAGCTGAAATACCACAGCAACTGAAGACAGCCTTGAGGTCTCTGGACTTTTGCAGTTGACCTCTGTCAAGACTCAGCTTACTGCTGTGTGCTCAGTTGCAGGAAATGTTGCCTGCTACGCTTACAGAGTGCATGATGGGGTGGGTAAGATGTGGATATCCATGAAGATCTATGACAATTTGAATGCAATCAGAGAAACCTCAGACTACTTTGGGTCTTCCTACATGGTCTATGACTACAGTGACCATACGTCCTTTATTATAAAGGACAGTCTTTTTATTTCAGAAAGCTGTCTTTTAGATTTATTTAATGAGTTTATTTTCTTGAATTTTTCCTCTTGAATTTTCCTTTATAAAACAAAGTTATAAACATTTTTTTTTATCCTTATGAACCTCTTTCAGATATGTCCCTTTTTCAGGTTTGTCCTTTATTTTTTCCAAGAAAATATGGTCACTGAATCTGTAATGGGATTTATAATGTGATAATATGGAGAGAAAGATATTTTCTCTTTTTCTCCAAAGACTAAAGTGCTGGATCACCCAACACCATTCATTGAATACATTTTATTTTAGTTTCTTTATTGTATGTTTATCTTGACATTTCTTCCAGGAAGCCAAGGTCTAAATGGCATGCTATCCCTTCTCCCCTAATTCATCCTCACACTCCTGTGAGTTGGGTTATTTAAGAAAGAATAGGAAGCTTTTCCCCTTAGATCTTACTCCTGGAAGTCCACATGGAACTGCAGATATATTAGGTCAAACAAAGCCATTTTTAAAACCCACAGAATTGTATTAGAAATGTCTATTTTTTTACAGTATGTGTGCCACAGGAATCTGGTGCCATGGGAAACACTGGTGGTCAGTAGATGAGACCCTATTTTCCTGCAATTAGTCTCAAAAGAATTAGCTTTGTAGCCAAAGATCAGATTACTAGTGCA